CAAGACCAACACATGACTCACATCAATAAACTTCAAGAAACTTCAATGGTCAAACATTTGCAGTCACCCCAGAATCCACTGGCGTACGTAACAGTCAAGCCCGGCCTTGCACTCGGGCAGCTTCCTTGGCCTGCCAGAGACAACATTTTGAACAATATGAAACAAGAATAAACATCATATGAACATCACAACATGTCACAACAGTCCTTTTGCTCTTCCTCGGCTCTGTGAGGCCTTCTCGACGAAGCGCGCCACTGCCACTCTTGCGCAGGCTGCGGCCAGCTTGCCCTCCGGACCTGCCGTGGGCATGTGCATTAGACATGCAGTACGTGGTGCCCATTCTCTTACGGGCCAGGAAGCACACAGGATTCCGGAAGACTGTGTTCTGTGCCCTGCCTTCTCTTCTGGCACCCTCGGATGCCTCTTCGTATGAGATACCATGAGCCTCTTCTCTAGTCTGGACAGCACAAGCTGACGAACAGCCTGTCCTTGGCAATCCAGTTGGCGACAGCTGCCTTTGCACAAGAGGCAGCTTCCTCTCGTCCAGGTCCTGCAATCACTACATTGACATGGCTGTGTGCGTGGGGCGGCGCACTGCCCACTCCCGACCTTCAGAGCGAGCAGCCCTGGCTGCATGCGCCGATGCCTGGCAAATCCAGTAGACGAACACCAGAAACGACAGCTACGGCACATCACGCAATTCCCACAGAAAAGTAAAAAAAACTAAGGACGACGGAGATGTTGCACAAGAACGCTCTTGCCTTCTCGACATACCGAGAAACAGCCACTCGAGCACAAGCAGCTGCCACTTCTCGCTCGCGCCCTGGCCAGATCTCTTGGGTGTGGGGACCCAAGCCGACTGGTACGAGCTGGTATGTCTGACATGCTGTGACTCACTGCCTGATGAATCCTCCTGCACAGACTGTCGAGCCTTTGCCTTCAGATACCACAAGTCGGGAAAGAGCAGTTTTGACAACTGTTCTCGTTCACAGATCCAGGCCGGCCTTCTCCACAAAGCCTTTCACTGCTTCTCGGGCACACAACGCTGCGACCTCCCGTGCTGTACCTGCACAGGCACAGATCGCCTGTGGCCCGCACAAACAGCAAGATAGGGTCTTCGCACCATCGATAGCCGCGGCAGCGAAAGTCTGGCCATCACGTGACAGTGCCAATGTGCCCACTGCAACAAGAAGTATCTCCAGCTCGTGCAGGGCGCTTGCCTGCCTTCTGCACGAGGCCTTGCACATATTGGTGCGCGCACTCTTCCGCCAAAGGGCGTCCCGAGATCACCTGCAGCTCCAAACGTGATAGGCCAGCCACAGGTCCGCGTCTGCTCAAAGAGAATCGGGCATGGTGTTTTTAAATATTATCGGGGTGTTTTTCCGTATTCTCTGTCGGTACATGGTGGCTGGTACTGGCGGGTAAGGGGGGAATGGTGAAAATGGTGAGGAATGGTAGCGAATGTCTAGCTCTAGCGGCGGGATTTTGGTGGTAGTGATGCGTAGTGGTGGGCAATGAGTAAGTTGTGGGATATCGAGTAATGGGGGGATTGCGGGTGATGAATGGTGTGCAATGGTGGGGATGAGGGTGGGTGGCAACATGGGCAGGAAATGGTGGGAGGTGGAAGTGGAATGCTGGGAATGCTAGTGGTGGGAATGGTGGGATATGTGGAAATGTTGGAAGGGTTTGTCTGGCTGGTGGGTTGAGGTGGGGGGGTGGGTCGGGGGGAGGGAGGGGGGGTGGTGGTGGGGGGGGGGGGGGGGTGGGGGGGGGGGGGGGGGGGGGGGGGGGGGCGACAGTGGGAATAAGAAAAAAACCTCAAAATAACGTGAGAATAAACTGCCAAACCTTTGGCTGAAGAAACCCGCAGAATAACCCCCGAAAAACCCCGGCCCAGAAAGAATAAGGAAAAACACCATCAGGATAAAAATCAATACGCAGCCCAAAAGAATCCACCGCCAAAGCCCCAATCATGCCAGGTTGCCCTAACCGGCGAAGCCTGCACGGACTCGGCTGGCTGAGGTGCTGCTGCAGGAAGTTGGGGAGCAAACTCGCCTCCGCCCTGCACAAGCAAAAAGCAGAGTGCTGGAAGATTGGCTGGGGTCCTCAAACACAGCTTCTAAGCCTGCCCTGCGAAAGCACGAAAAAAGGGAAAACCTAAACGCACAGGGAGGGTGAGGCACTACCGCAGAACCTAACCTGCGGAGGGAACATCGGAGAAGATCGGGCGGCTCGCAAGGCCTTACGGTCGCAGACCCAACCCCGCAGGTGCACTGCCAGCGCGCATTGAGTATTGCGGAACCGGGGCAGGTGTGAGCCCGGATGGCTCAGCCAAAAAACCGAGGCAACCCGGAGCCCTCACAAAATGCAGGCAGCACTCGGCAAGATGATGCCGGGTGCCACTCACCCGCCGTCGTTAGAATGACTGAGCGGACGCGGGAGGAATCAACAGGAGCGACGATGCTCAGCGACACTTCATCGCGCAGCATGTATAAATGGGGTCACAACTATAATTTTCAGCTGGCCGGGGGATCCCGGTCCAAGAGCATGTTCAACTTTCAAAAGTTTTGTTCAGAACCTGTGTTGCTTGGATTTCGCACGGAGCTTGTGGGAAAAGCCGAGTGCGGTGTCCTGTTTTCTGGTGTCTGCTTTCAAGCTGCGAAGCTGTTTCGTACTTTTGCGTACAGCTTCGCATGTTCATGGTGCTTCTTTCCAAGTTGTACAATCGCAACATGCACATTCGTACTTGTTTAAACCTGTTCGAACATGAGAAACTTTTGCGTTTAGTTTCGTGCTTTCAACAACCTGCAACAGCCAAGCGGTCTGCTTCTAGCACACAGGTCTTGGCACGTGTGCGGGAAAACTTGCTCCTCTCCGTGCTAGATTCGGGGCAACCACAGCGAAGATTAACATTTTGTCCGCGCGACTGCCAACAAGACTCTTGTATAGCAAGCTTGCACAGGCTTGGCGAACAAATCTTAGGGAGCCCAGCTTGTGGCTGTACCCCAGCTGTAAAGTAGCCACACAGAGAGCCATACTGACCAATTGCCTGAAGGCAGCCAAAGCCATGAAGCGAGCCCAGGCACCGCGGCTCACCCGACCCAGCATCATGGGATTCACGAGCAAGGGAAGGAAACACTGCGAGCCACCAAGAAAGCCACAGAGGCCCAGTTCCCCGCCATGACGCCACAAGGAGCCAACGGAGAGCTTTTCGGCCCCCGCGACCCACCCATGCAGCACCCAGGAGCTTCGGAAAGGCCAACGGTCCACGGAGCCGTGAAAGGGAGCAACGGGGAGCCATGAGGGGAGCCCGAGCCACAGCCCACCAATCCAACCCTCGAGCCAGAAGGCCCCCGCGACCCAGCGTTTTTCCTGAGGGGAGAACCGCAAACTGTTTGGGGGGAAGGGGGAGGGGGGTAACTTATTCAAGCCACCCTAACAGTAGCACCTTGCTCAACTGGAGGGCAGATCGCGACAAGACGGAAGGACAGAGGGAGCGGGCGCGGCAACCGAGGAGGCAAAGACGTGGAATTGTCGGCCACAGGACTGTCATCATCAACGGTAATGAGAGACGCAGACGGGCTGCTTGCGCGTGGAGGCCTGTGCCGAAAAGGGGACTTGACTGGGACTTGGCACCTGACTTGCGGCCTGCTGATCTGAAACCTCACACTTGATGGGCGTGACCTTGTGTGTGTCAGAGCGCTCCATAACCGAGAAGCGGCAGATACGCTCGGCAATGACACACACTTCGCGTCCACCCGGCCAAGCACTCGGAGAGTCCATCAAGCTGAGCGGCCACTGCGAGACCGGCTGCCAACCAAAGGCCACCGGGCAAGCGCAGATGTCGGGCGCGATAAAGGCAGCCTTTGGTATGCCTCGAGGAGCAGGCACCGTGTGCGGGATCACAGGAATGCTGTGGGAAGGCAATGGGCGGTGCACAAGCCGCAGCAGGCTGCAGCTTCCAAAACTTGAACGCATGCGCAGGTACCTCCAAACATGCCGAAGCGACATGCCGAAGCGACATGCCGCACACTGCCTTCACTGATTGTGAACCCGAACAGCAGCCTGATTGAGTGTGCAGCCAGACCTCACTCCCGCCACGAGGAGGGTCTTCACACTAAACCTTTAAACCTAACCCCCACTTATCAACCCCAATACCACCGCAGGTTTCACATTTGTTGCCGTTATTCACACATCACCAGATCCACCGGGCCGGCCTTCTCCACTAAGCCGTTCACTGCCTCGCGGGCGTACAAAGCTGCAACCTCCCGCGCTGTACCTGCACCGGCACAGATCACCCGTAGCCCTCACGCAAGACGTGATGCAAAACAAACAGCAAGATAGGGTCTTCGCACCATCGATAGCGGCGGCGAAGGTCTGGACAACGATTCCATCACGCGACAGTGCCAGTGACCGCGGCAACAAACATGTTCCATCTCGCACAAAACGCCTGCCTTCCGCACGAGGCTTTGCACATATTGCTGCGCGCACTCTTCCGCCAAAGGGCGTCCCGAGATCACCTACAGCTCCACATGTGTGAGGCTCTCCAGGTCTCCTGAAACAGAACCTACCAAAGCCCTAGTCATGCCAGGTTGCCCTCACCAGCAAATTCTGCACGTATGCAGACGCGGCTGGCTGGAGTGCCATTGGAAGAAGTTGGGGAGAAAACTCGGAAACGTCTCTGCCCAGCACAAGCAGAAAGCTTAATGTTGGAAAATCCATTCGAATCCTGGAAAACAATCAGAGCCGAAGCTGCAACTAAAGCCAGCTCTAAGGCACATTGTGTACGTGTATATACATACCTACATCTATGTATACACTTTACAACTCAGCAACGCAAGCTGCGAGCCAAAACAGAGGCGAATTCGGCTTCGGAGCTGACCCTACAGCTTCAGACAAAGAGATTGTCGCGATCTTTCACCTGTATGCCATGTTCTAGAAGATTATCTAAACGGGCCAGGCATGAAAACAAGATTTCAAGAACTTCACTCCAGCGATTCCTGGCGCTGGATCTGCTGCCGGACCTGGCGATGCAGCAGCGCACCGTGTTTGGCGGACTTATGAACGAGGCAAGAAGAAATAGTTGCCTATTGATCGCGGCCATACTTCATGACAGCAGCTTTGTGGATGTCATCATTCTGCTATTCGGACGACGCAACATCTACTTATCACAACCCATGGCACGCCGATACGCATTTGAGCCTTGTACTCGTGGAACTCGGCTTTGGCAGCCTTGGTCTCCTCGCGCGAGTTTTTCAGCGCCTTGGAGGTCAAAAACAGAAGACACAAGCTTAATCCCAGACTTTGATGTTGACCAACATGCCGCCTGCCACCACCACATCACGTGGGATACCATGTGTTGCTGCGGTCTGTTTTTCTTGCCGCATGAGCGAACGTCTCTTGCGCACGGCACATAGTGCATTTACCTCAAAGCTGAAAGCACGACGACGGGCAGGAGGACCCAGAACTTCTGAATCGCTGTCTACAGACTCTGCTGGTTCACAGCGCACATGCACATTGAAACCTCATTGCAACTGGGACACAGGAAAGCCTGCCAACGCTGCTTGGCGGCAGCCTTTCCAGCAATGCTTCACAGTCGGCAGATGCCAAGCAACCTGCAAAGCAGCCTACGAGCCGGAACACGGCTCGATCACGCATCCCAGCTAGGGCAGCAGCAGGCGGCAAGCCTGATGATGGCCTGCCTGGCCTGCCCGAGCTGACGGCTGTAAGGAGTACAAAGAGTGCACCTGGCTGGACGAGTGCCTGAGGAGGGCAACAGTGGCTTGCAGTATGCAGGCTGCCCGGCCGCTGGTTAGAGGCCCGCCCTCAGAGCAAAGCACAGAGAGCCTAGAGCTTCCTCGAAGAGAAGATGAAATTCGGCAAGGGGCATAGCCCAACCCTGAAAGTAGGCTGTCGTCTTCCTCCTTCACAGCATTCACGTCCTTGAAATGCATTCAAAATTCAAGCTTTCACCGCGCACCAACAAGCATAAGAAGCTCATGCATCACGACTTCAGCGGTCCATTTTGTACAATGGCCCACATTGCTGCTCCACTCCCTCTCCACTGAAGCACCGGATCAGCTCGGTACTTTCTCCTGCAGAGAAGGGAACAGCAGCCACCCGCCCCGAGATAAGTGCGGTACTGACTCTGCGCAAACACCCGGAAGCAAGCCGCCTTTGCCAATCACCTGCGGCAAGAAAATGCACCCGGCATAGGACACGAGTGACATCATCCTGCTTCTACAGTGCACATGCAGATAGGGCAAGCTGTGCTGAGCTGTGCTGCAGCCCATCACAACGACGCACAGAGGCACCAAGACAAGCAAGCCAAATGGCCCGGCCGTGTGGTCCGTTTGGACAGTCACATTGTCGGTGCCCTCGAGACCTTGCCGCCTCCACGGAGGGGCAGGCGTACCTTCCGCAAAGCAGCGAACTCAACGCGAATTCAACTCTTCTTCTGCTTCTTCGCAACATAGCTGCTGACCCTCGATCGGGTACGGCGGCCCGGTCCCATAGTCACCTGCCCTCGGGCAAAGTTTTTGAGCTTACGGAGTCATGCACGGGACAGCTCCACAGTTCCGAACTTGTGTGCTGGCCAGGCTCTGCATCAACTGGTGGGCGATCTGAAAAGCAAGTGCAGCAGCCAAGCAACTCTCACGTCGAACCAGAAACAATGACTCCAGCCTCTGCAGGTGTCGGAACTCTCTCTTCACTTGGCAGCTCGGAGCCACGGCCATCATCATAAGCATCTTTCCGGCGAGCTCGAATGTCCTCTCACATTCCGGCCATGCAAGTCCAAAGCATGGCAAGCTTTCACCGACCCACATTCCTTCACAAGTCATCTGCCCCGTCTTGCCCTCAACAATGCCAGTAAGAAGCCATCTGATCCGGCTAACACGAAGGCAAACCCGCGACGTCCTTCTCCAGAGATGCACGGTCAAGCTCGTATCTGATCGGCGCGGCAATAGGAACTTGAAACACACACGCGAGAAGCTTGGGCTTCAGCTGATGATCCATCGACTTCAAGGAGGCCAAGACCGCATCTTTGGGCTCTGCTGCCGCGGCCTCCTCCTGCCAGATAGTCATATATGTATATAGAGACTGAGAGAGAGAGGGAGAGGGAGAGGGAGAGGGAGTGGGAGAGGGAGATCGAATGTGTAAGCGCAATCCTAGCCTTTGTGATAGCCCCCACGTCCACCAACGCCGAGCGTAGCAGTCTTCTTGCCTCACCTGATGGGACAAACACATCTCGCAGTCCAGCATTGGCAAGTCGGAACATGCTGCCAACGGAAATCAAAACTTGCGAAAGCCTTGAGCACTTTGGAGCCCTGTGAAACTTGTCAGCGCCGGTGAGTCGACCATGCCATTGCTTGACAAGACCCGGCCCATGCCTACATCAAGGACCACATGGGCTTCCACCAGTAAGACCAACACGCTCAGCTTTTTGTTGAGAAGCATGCGGTGCAGATGAAACACTGCGAAACCAAGCCGAATCCCTGGCATGCTTCAATCAAGCCCCGTATCGACAGACCCAACCTGTACCACCACCAACGACGACAGTCATGAGAGCAACACACCGAGTGAATGTGGGAATTGGAACATACTTGCGCAGCAAGGGCTTCTGGTCCGTGAACAGCTTGGTTGACATTTGCTGTGACTGGACGCAAGGAAGACTGCTGTACGTTATGGATAGGTAACGAGCTGCTACCAAACAAGGACTAGACTAAAACTATGCTGACACATGCTTGCTGCTGCCTGACAATCTTCTCCAGCACGAGAGCCGCTGAAAAACTCCAGCATTGTCATGTTTGAAGATGCACATCATGGACAGAATGGAGAGATAGCAAGTGATAGCAAGTGATAGCAACACAAGGTTCTAAAGGTTGGGGCCGGCACGACCTGTAGCAAATCGATTCTGTCATGCTGACTCGGCGGCACCCGTGAGATGCCTTGGGACGACCAGTTGGCTATCGACCCGCTTACGCACGTCTCCATGAAGCCCGGTCGCATTCAGCGAATTTGTCAGCCAGTAGCGAATCCTGACCGCTGCACATTTTTTTGCTTGTCAACAATGAAAACATGCCTCACAACAGCAGATCCAGCCTTCACCAACCACGCGTGCGATTTCAGCAACAAATCCGTGGCTTCGGTGAACGCTGTGTGAGCTACCATGACCTTCAAAGCAAGCCACGTACTGCAGAGGAAAACCTAGCATTATGTTCCAAGGACGGCGCCTTCCTCTTTAAGTGCTCTACGAGCAACATCTGGTCGAGCCTACCACAAACCCGAGAAATAGCTAAGGTGCAACAGCGCGCCAAAACACACACACACACACACACACACACACACACAGAGGCCTTTCTTGCCACAATGGGGTTCCCTGGATGACACCATCCTCACAAACATACAACGACAAACTGCCTACAGCATAAGCGCTGGAACTCAATGACGGTCCTGCGGTTGCGCACCGCTGTTGGGCAGGCCGTTCATGGCGTACAGCTTTTTTTCAGCCTGGTTGACTTCTTATCACCAAGGTTCACAAACATGAAAAATGCTCCACAAGCTGGTCGAGCAGAGCCTGCATTCGCTCTCGGAACTCTGCGTCGTAGGCCTGCCAACCCCAAGGGGAAAGTTCCTGCAGCAGTCATCGGCGTTTTGTCTTGAACCGGCTCACAGGCCAAGACATGACATCGATAAACCCAGTGACTGTATGACACCAACACTTTGCCTGATGCGATGGCATCAGAAGCCCGACCGTAAGCTGAAAGTTTCGATCCCACGACAATCCTCCTTGACAGCCGTAAGCCATTTGCGCAAGTCGTTGAAGGTGGTGCGTGGGTCGTTGGGACCTCCCTCGGAATAGTCCAATAACCTCACGCATCGCATCAAAAACTAAGATTATCATGACACTGAACATCGCGCCTGGACACCATGTGCTAGCTTTGCAATTGGATACAAGCAAATGAAAGTCGTAGCGCTCCCAACTTTGGAATGATTTGTATGTCGAATGTCAAAGTTGCCGACCTGTTGGGCTTAGAAATCAATGGCACTTGACCTTGCCCACAACACCAATGTTTGCCGAACGCCAACTTGAGCATGAAATGGCAATCATCAGAGGTCATGCAGTCCCTTAAGAATTAGTAGGCCTTGCCATTTGGATATTGCATGAATCCAAAACTGTCCGGGAAACTGTGTCAATAAATTTGAAGAAAAAATGTTGACCACAGGACGTCTTGGTTCCATTCATGAGATGCGAAACCCGGACACATGCAAGGTTCGGTGCCCTTTGGCCTTGGCAAGGCAGCGCAACGGCAAGTTGTGCGAGTGAGTCACGGAGCAAGCCGCCCTCGTTCGCAAACGGATTGCGAAAGCGCGAAATTATGCCATGACCATTCGACTTGCATGAATGGACAACAGCAAGCATAAACAATGCGCAGCGAATGCAAAAAAAAAACACACGTATGCTCATCATCACTGCAAGTACTTCAAGGCTGATATCCGCCTTTGCTGTCGCCGCTCCTTTCGCCCATCGCGCAAAGCAAAAGGATGCTGCCGCTCCACTAGATTTGTCGACCTAACCTAAGTCCAATAAGCGCTGCACAAACTTTGTCGCAAAGGTTGGGGGGGCATGATCGACCGCCTCTGTTGAGTTGGGAAGGACTCGACACAAAAGACATCCTGAAGCATCCTGAACTGTCAGGAACTGATCTCGGAAGCAACAACATGCACTTCCCAATAGCCTTCTTCTACCCTGCATCAGGTACCACCCATAACCTCCAGCATTCATTGAACTATTAGAGGGCCTGCCTGCGTGTTCTTACAGATTTCAGACGCATTCTGCGAGCGCATTAGGGTCCACAAAATCCACAATACGCAAGCCATCCACGACATTGCCACTGAAATTGCCCTCAACCTGGAGCACACGCTCTGACGGATCCAGATCGAAATTAAAAAGTTCCTTCGCGGATTGACCGACATGGAGCCAGCACCCTGCTCACTCAGCTTGTAAAAGCTTCTTGCGAATATGTTCTCTAGCATGGCATGTTATATGAGCCTCAGCAGCAGGCTAACCGATCTGGAGGATGCCTACATCAACAAACTGACCGTGAAAAAGTGTGTGTCCAGCTTTGTCTCTCCACGACTACTGACGCTACTCACACTACATTCTCGTACGCTCCAAAAGTTGCTTAGAGTGTGCATTATGGACAGCATGTGTGTCCCATTGGACTCCCTTGGCCAACATTGGCTTGAAACCTGGCTGGCTGGGCAGTCGATTTCCACAAGTAAGACACACACTGACCTGGCAGATGAGATATGCGGCAAGCTTGCAGCTTTGGTAAAAAAAACTGACAAGAAGAACTTGGCTCTAGAACTACTGCAACAAGCAAGCGCAAGTTTCTTGCCAGACAAGTGGAAAAATCTTTGCAGCAGTAAGCAAGAATCAGCACCCTGTTGCTGAGAAAAGAATGGACTCAATATTGGCAAAGGGCATAAGATCAAGTGGTTTCAGGCAACCTGTCGCCGGTCAAACCTTCGATGTGGGCAATGAGAGGAAAATCACAAGTTTGTGTGCATCGTAAATCCTTACCCTGGCAGTGTATCATTGGAACTCTGGACATTCATTTGGATGGCTATATGCAACTCAACTTCAGTGTCAAAGGCTGCAAAATCTTTGATTTCTGCTGGCCAGAAGATTGTGCTGCGTGTTTTCGTATCAAGCGGTCTGCTTTGCAACTTTGACTACATGATTGTAGGCTTCGGCAGGTCAACTGTGCTGGACAATGAAGCTTTCGCTAGATTTACAGTGTTTTGGCAGCGTGAATTGTGACAGTTTGTGTTGCACACACAGCTATTTGGCTTAGCTGGCTCCAATCCAACCTATCTAAAGAAGAGTAGCCCACTCAGGAACGCCGCACTGCCTTCCAAGTGGACTAGTCCAGCTTTCAATGGCAAGAGCGGTGCGTTGTTGGACTCGAGACCCCGCCTCGCAGGGTTCTAGGTCCAGGTCGTTAAAAGTTGAAGGTCCCTCTGGTGTCTTCCCTTGAAAGCACAACACTCTTTTTCACTCGCAGGCCTTGAGCCAAAAGTCACGAAGTGCGCAAACTAAACAAGTTCAGTGGTGAGCTTTAAACGAACTTCAGAACACAGTTTCTACTCTACCTGAACCCTGCCCCACATGACAGAACTCACCGGGATGGGTCGTCCCTCGAAAGAGGGCCCCACAAACCGATGTCGCAGACTTGTGTTCCATGATGGAGGTTCACAGACTCGTTGCGTGCAACACCTTTGCAAACTGCACAACACACACTCGTATGATTTCCTAGGGAAAATCATCGAGGCTCAAGAATGGGATTACAACGATTTCCAATCACTCCGAAGCAAAACAAATCTATACAAGCTGATCCAAAAATATGACAAAAACCATCAATAATCAGCCACCAAAACGAAACAAACGACACACCAACCGATCTCTGACATTAAACTTAAACTTATGCAAGCTCCCGCCATAAGGCAGATTTGTCCTGGGTCCAACTGATTCCAAGAGTTTGTTGTTGAAAACACGTGATAAACGAATTCCACCTTGCATCCACTGTGCTTGACAGGATGTCTTGAAAAGTCTTAGAGTTCGTTGTGGCAAACACATGCAAGCTTCAGAATTACCCAAGACTCCACAGCGGCTCAAAGCACGGAACCCATAAAGAGAGCCACACAGAACCGGTGACTCTTCTTCAGAGACTCCACAGATTTCACTCACGCGTTTGCTGACATCTTCCCACAGCATAGCATTGAAGGCTGATGTGTGCACTTGTACTTCCAGCCAATCTGGAATCCGTAACATTGAGATCTGGCCTTTCTGTGCTTCTAATATTCTGCAAATCAGTGAACTCATTCTAAGATCAAGTTGATCATGTAAGAGCGAATCATGCGATACACACCAAAGTGCGATTGCCGGCCGACGCTTGCTCGGCCTGTTGAAGGCAGTTGTTGAGAAAGTTACGTTTTCTCCTCCTGGCTGCCTGCTTGAGCAGGGTTTCGGCTTTCATCGCAGGTGCCAGAGTCGCCACTGATGGAAGCAATTGTGTAACAGGCGCTTGTAGGAGAGCAGCCCAAGAGGGACAATACCTGTGAGTGGGGGCTGGGCCCGCCCCCTTCGTACGAAGGGGGGCTTGAAGGGGGCTTGAAGCCCCCCTTCAAGCTTCCTGAGGGGTGAAGGGGGGGGGGGGAGGGGGGGGGAGGGGGGGGGGAGGGGGGGGGGGGGGGGGCGAAGGGTCTTGATTGAAGGGGGGCTTGAAGGGGGGCTTGAAGGGGGGCTTGAAGGGGGGCTTGAAGGGGGGCTTCAAGGGGGGCTTCAAGGGGGGCTTCAAGGGGGGCTTCAAGGGGGGCTTGAAGGGGGGGCTTCAAGGGAAGCTTCACAGGGAGGCTTCAAGGAGGGCCTGAAGGGGAGGTTTGAGACGCGAGCCTAAACGTCGCGAAGAAGGCCCAGGTGCTCGGCCTCGTAAACTGCTCCCTGCAACCCGTGCGAAGCAAGCCCAGTTATTAGGCCGCTTGAACTGCTCCCTGGAACCTCGCGAAGAAGGCCCAGTTAGTGGGCCTCTCAAACTGCTGCCGAAACGTCGCGAAGAAGGCCCAGTTATTAGGCCTCTTAAACTGCTCCCTGAAACCCCTGCGAAGCAGGCCCAGTTATTAGGCCTCTTAAACTGCTCCCTGGAACCTCGCGAAGAAGGCCCAATTATTAGGCCTCTTAAACTGCTCCCTGAAACCCCTGCGAAGCAGGCCCAGTTATTAGATCTCTTAAACTGCTCCCTGGAACCTCGCGAAGAAGGCCCAGTTATTAGGCCCCTTAAACTGCTTCCTGAAACCTCTGCGAAGCAGGCCCAGTTATGAGGCCTCTTAAACTGCTCCCTGTACGGGTTTCCGGGAGCAGTTTAAGAGGCCTAGTACCTGGGCCTTCTTCGCGCCGTTTACGCCCGCGTCTCAAACCCCCTTTCAAGCCCCCCTTGAAACCTCCCTTTGCAGCTTCCTCTGATCCCCCTTGAAGCCCCCCCTTGCAGCCTCCCTGGCCTCCACGAGAAAACATGGGGTTTTCGGCTTGGCCCTTTGCCACACGCACTCGAGATGGGAGGCGTCGGGCACTCGCAGGCCGAAGCCGCTTCCCCAGTCCGCTACAAGACATGGGGTTCTTGGCCGAGCCCGTGCCACAACAAAAAAACACATTCAAGCCAAAAACATGCTACTGTACGTGATTGCGTCGTAAAAAGTCTCCACTCCTCTGATTTTCGAACAATGAAAAACAAAAACAAAACAAGATTCAGGGGGGTGGAATTTAAACTAAAATCCCTTCTCTCTTCTCCCTTGATTTTTCGAATAACGAAATACAAAAAACAAAAAAATTCGAGGGGCGTAGAATTTAGAATAACTTCCCTTCTCTCTCCTCGGAGTTTTCAAATAATGAAACACAAAAAACAAAAAAGGAGATTCGAGGGTGGAATTTAGAATACGTTCCTTCCCTTCCCTACAACAAGTAAATGGGGGGGGAGGCTGCGCCCCAAGCCCTCCCCGCTCTTTACTTCCAAAAAGTCTCCACTCCTCTAATTCTCGAACAATGAAAGACAAAAACAAAACAAGATTCGGGGGGGGTGGAATTTAAACTAAAATCCTCTCTCTTCTCCTCTGATTTTTCGAAGAACAAAATACAAAAAACAGAAAAATTCAAGTAGGACGACGAAGCAAGGGGGCATGGATTTTAGAACAATTTTTTTTTCTTGCTTCTGCGGGAGGACGGCTCGAAAGATAATTCTCGACTGTTCTTCTCCAAGTACAGCAGGACGACAAAGAACAAGGGGGGGACTTCTTTTTTTCGACAGGCTGCGCAGAACGACCATCTTGTAAAGCCAAGACTTCAAACTCAGCCCATTTTTTTTCTGCTGCTTGACTTGACGTGCATTTTTCCTGTTTGCACCTGCAAAGGCTGAACAAAGCTACCAGCAAAGAAACATGACCTTAAAAAAACTTTGGATGTGTTTTTCAGCTGTCTGGCTTGACACATGCAAGGCAAGACCAAACTTGAGCAAATTGAAGATGCCCTGTTAACAAATTATTTTTGATTTCCAACATGAAAAACATTTAAAACCAGAAAAACACTGGTTTCAAAGTTGCCTTGGGTCAAAGCAGATTGTTTTCAAAATTTCCAAAAACGAAAAAAACATTTAAAACAGGAAACACTAGTTTTTAATCATTCAAAGTCTGCAGTGTGAATACTGATTTTGGTTCAGAAACAAAATCGCTTGAGCACAATTTAAAACATCAATTGATGTTTTTTTTCAACTTTTCCTTGTTTGAGAAACATTGTTTAACAAAATGATCTGAAAACAAAATGAGCCTCACTAACTTTTGCAACTAAGCTAACCGGCTTGATTTGGATCAAAATTTTAAATTTTGAAAATTTTCAAAAAACATTGCAAGAAACGCGGCGTCCAAAAAATCTAGAATGCATTCTGTGGAATGGTTGGTTTAAAAACATCATTTTGGAATTCCTACATGCTATCTTGCCAGGTAAAATGGGAGCAAACAAAAAGGTTTTCAACGAAAGAAAAAAAACACATTTTTCATGGTTTTCAAAAACAAAAATTCAAATTTCTGAAAATATGCAGCTTTTAGATCTTCCGTGTGGGTAAATCCTGCTAAGACCACTGCAGAGAGCTGAATAACAACCCAGCGATGCCTGCAAACAATGAAAATTGAAAACCTTGAAAAGTGCTGAAACTTGCATTTTGGAAAATTTGAAAAAATTGCCACGGAGTGCTGTCGTCCTGCGAAGCCCGTAGAAAAAGAGAGGAACAAGGATTAGCCCAGATTTCACCCCTCCAGAGCTCCTAAAAGAGAAAAGAGGAAGTGAACTGTTCTAAATTCCACCCTACATTCTTCTTCTTTCTTCTTTTTTGGCTGCGACAACCCAATTGTAGACCTCTCTCTTGTATCTGCATTTCAAAACTGACCTCTGTTGTGGCGTGGCCTCTGGCTGTTTGGTTGTGCGGGCAAGTCCTTCCTCCCTGATTTGGCGGGAACTCGTTCAAAAACGCGGTCCTGAGGGCTTAGGGCTGGCTTTTAGAAGGGTCAAAAGTGCCCGTAAAATGCGCGCAAAATCTTTTGGGCCATGGTGCGGCCTGGCAGGCATTGTTCGATTTCCTTCTGACCACAGGCTCACGCTAATTCGCTTCCCATGCCAGCTCGACCCAGGCTTTAGCTCAACTGCAAGACGCAAAAGGTTCAAACAGACTTCTCGTCTGCAAAGAATATTCAACTGGTGGCCAGTCTTCCCGACAATTGGAGCATTAGGACCTGCAACTGCAGAAACAAGTTACTCTGCAACTTCTGGGTGAGAATCTCAAGCAAGCATTCAGAAGGCCACAGCCTCGGCAGGTGCTTTCAAGGGTTTCGGGTTCAACCGCGTGCTTTAAGGTTTGGGGCTCAACTGGAGCCAAGCTTTAGGGTTTCGTGCTCACACGCATGCTTATAAGGTGTCGGGCTGAACTAGCGAGAAGCTTTCAGGTTTCGGGCTCAACCGCACGCTTTAGGGCCTCAACTGGCGGCAAGCTTTACGTTTCGGGCTGACTGCAAGCTGTAGGCGGGCTCACCGCAAGCTTTAGGTTCAGCAAATTGGCGGCAAGTTTCTGTCTTTGCCGCAAGCTTTAGGGACTTTAAGGTCAACTGGCGGCAAGCTTTCGGTTGCGGGCTCACCTTTCAGGGGCTCAACTGCAAGCTTTAAGGAGTTTCGACTCAAGCTTTAACGGGCTCCAGGGCATGTCTGAGGCTCAGGCGGGGAACTGGCTCGCTGCCTGGCGTGACACCCGTGATCCCCGCAACAAAAGCCTTCCCGTAATCGTCGCGACTCTTGTTTGCAAAAATCTCCGCTACATTGCCCGCAAGGTGTTCGGGGAAGACCTGGACCGAGGGTCGGGCAGGGTCGGGCTTGGGTATTGAGGTCCTGCATTAAGATGCAGCATCTCAGTAATACATGCGAGTCTTTGCACGCGGGCCTCGAAGGAATGCGTGGTGAGACGTCACGAGAGAAACAAACAGGGGACAGCATCAGAGCAAAGCCGTTCTCGCGGCCAGCCTTTGCTGCTAGCCTACGGGTCCCGCCAGGTGGCTGGTGCTGCAGCTGCCATGGAGGGTCCCAAGAACTTTTCAATCTCGCTTTGCGAGGGCAGGATCCATTCATCTTTCGTCTTTGCCTTTTGCGTCGACGATCCTCTCATCCAGTAAGCATGCTTCGCAGTCCGTGGCCGTGCGTGGTTGACACTGGCGCTGCCTTCCTTCTGCTGCGCCACCATGACTAAGTCAGTACTGTCTCTCTCTCTCCTCACAGCGAACAAGTCTACTGCCTCGAACTGTGCGTGGCTCGGGAGAACCAGCTGCAGGGTTGGGTACTGCAATGGTTGTGGCAGCTGCTGAATTGCTTCCTCGACATTCTTCGCCGCTGGGTTGGCATCCAGACACTGGACTGCTGCCCCTTCATGTCCATGCAGCCATCCGTGCAATTCGCCGCCCATCTGCTGCCAAATGTAGCGCAAGCCGAAGGCAACGGCGATGATCTTCTCCCACGCCTTGCCATCCTTCTCCTCTGCAGCTTGCATGCCTTGCAGCCACTGTCCAAGAACACCACAGGCAGGGCAGACACTGCTACATTGGATAAGGAAGTGCGACATGAAGCATGGGATCCATATTGGTCTGTTTTTTTGGCTGCCGTCCGTGAGCTGCCTGAAAGCCTCCATCTCTCTCATCAACGTGCCTGCGAGAACCTCGCGCAAGAAGGCGGCAAGGTGCTGTTGCGGGTCTTCCCGGATTTGTGATAATTTTTGTGAGAGCAGAGACCCATCATCGTGCGAGGACCAAAGGAGTGCTGGGACTCTTGAGTAGTAGGCTGCTTTCATGTGCGTCAAGCCAGAAAATGCTGGCGACATGTTCTGCAGCTCTCCGAGCTCATCTGCGAATGGCAAGCCTGTGATTTCCAGCCCCCTAACGGAGTCGCCCTCCATGTACTGGGTCAAGTCTAGCCCCGTGGACTGAATGTGGGAGGTGAAGACCATGTAGGTACCTTCAGGGCCAAGGAAGACATTTTTCATGAAGCGGGCGGCATCTTGCTCTGCTTTCTCTTCCTCTTTTGTGGGGCCCCTCAGCAACAGTTGGTTAAGCTCATCGACTAGCAAAACAACGTTCTTCTGGCACTCGAAGTAGGATTGCAGAGTCGACTTCTGACACGTCTTGTTTCCGAATTCGTCTGCCACATCCTGACGAAGCGAACTGTTGGCCGGGAGCAGCGCATACGCAATAGTCCGGTACAGCCACTCGTCCGCTAGCTCGTTGTCCCGCCGTTTGACGGGGCTTTCCCCGTTGAAGGACACAAAGATGGGGAGGTACTCAGTTTCGGCCAGTCTCTCGCCAAGCTTTAGCAGGAAGGTGGTCTTCCCACCTCGCGCACATCTTGCTGCGCAGGTGGGCGGCACGCGGTTCGTGAGACTCACATCGCTTCGGTTGATGTACTTCTCGATCAAGCCCATGCAAGCTTTCACGCAGGCATCGATCCCCACAAGCCTCTGTCCATCCTGTAGCTTTGCTGCGGGGACGCGCGCTTGAGACAGCGGACCGAGTTCTTCTTCCTGCGAAGGGGAGCATGAACGCCAAACACAAGGTTTCCCTACGCACTCTCCCCATGTCCTTGATGACCCTTGGCGCTGCCTTCGCCTGCAGGGTCCAGCCACTTGCAAAGCTGAACTGGCCACAAACCTTCCGGATACCTCCGAAAACCACCCAAAGTACAAGCAATAATGACACGAGCAGCTCCACCTGTCCAAGATGGCAGCCTCTTTTGAAACACCCGGAAAACGTTGCCGCAGACCTCTGGCACTGTGCCTCCGAAGCTTCCCTTCAAGTCGAACCTTAAAAAAGCAGCTGCACCGCGAGCCTCACTGCGCTAAAGCTGACCAAACAGGACAGCCCTCCAAGGCTTAGCCAATAGCCCTCTGCTCCGAAAGCCCCTCCCGCTCCCCGAACTGCTGCAAGCCAACACTGAAGCTTAACGACGAGGGGATCCTTGCTGAGAGGAGAGCATGAAGCCAAAAAGCAACAACGGTGGACCGCACGAAAAACCCACGACGACCAAGAGCCCCGGACATGCAGGAGTGCTAGGCAATACGCCCACGCAGAAGCCCCCGGCCTGCACTCGTCTTGCCGGAACCCCACTGCTCGGCAAGGTCCGCGTGCTAAAGGCACTAAGAACCCAGGTCCCTTGACTCCCCCTCACGGACTAACCTGAAAGTCGAGCCGCAAACAAAAACAACCGCAACCTGGAGAGCGCAAAGCGAGCGCAAAACAGGCTGACCCCCCCACCTCGAGCCTAGGACTGACACCCCGTTCTGAAGCATCGGCAAAACACGAGGAGCAACCAGAATTGCATGAACCTAAAGCAGACAAGAGCCCCTCCCACTCCCCGAAGTGCTGCAAGCTAACACAGTGAAGCTTAACGACGAGGGTATCCGAGCTGAGAGGAGAGCATGATCCCAAAAAGCAACAACGGTGGACCGCACGAAATGCACTCTCCCTTGGCGCCGGCCTCGGCTGTCGGCAAGGACACGGCAGCGATGCGTTCGGCCAGGACTTTGCGCGGCCCCATGCGAATGTTCATGTCTTGCATGTCGTTCAAAGTCAACTTCAAAAGCGCCTTGCCCATGATATCCTCGCTGTTGATAATATTTGTAATATTCTGTACCGTCTCCTTGCCGCAGTTCGCCTCTTCCAAGACCGCTCTGGCCCAATAACCGACCTGCTCATCCACACTGACTCGAAGCACTTTTGCAAAAGAGACATCGCAAGCCGCACCTCCTCAGATGTAAACAAGTCGATCTCGCCAGCTGTCTTTTTTAGCCACTCGGCCTGCAGCAAGCGGCACACAAATGCTAGTGTCAGCGAGCCTTCGCAGAGCCCGCCTGATCGAAGCTTGCTTTGGCCTGCAGGAGCCACACATAACTACGAAGCCCTCACCAGCAAGAACATGCTCCTTGAAAGTGCCTCGGCCGTCGCCTCTTCCACGGAATCGTTTTCTTTGGGGGCCTCCCAACATGGACTGATCCCGAGAAGACCTATATACATGTGCTGCTGGCAGGACCGTTTCATGCAAGCATGAAACCCTCGCAATCGATCCCTCAAGCTCCTCGAAATTCGCCTGATGCTCCCGTCGAGCAGCTTTCGATGCGAAATCTGAACACACGCCGAAAGGACAAGCAAACCTCGTCTTCACGAGATTGCAGAGGCCCTTGCTCAGAAAATGAACACACTCGGGCAGGAGCGAAGGAAACGCCGTCAGAACAGCACAAGGAACGCCACGCCGAAACGACAAACCCTTTTCGCCTTGACGTCTTCACTGTCTTGGGCCTCACCACGGCCAGCCTCAGCTCTTCAGGACATACGCTTAACACTGAATTTCCTCTCGGTCTCGGCTTCCCGCCTTGGCCCTGCGTGCGACCAGCAAGTTCTGTGCCCATATTCCCGGAGGAACCGACCTCGCGCTGGCTTGCGGATCTTCGGCGTTCCATGCCATACATCACATCCCACCTTGGAAACTGCACGGCCCCCGCTCCTAGCAAAGCCCGCGCCGTCTGCGCTGCTCGCCTGAGGCTGCTCGGGAAACCCTCTAACACTGTTCAAAGCACTGGTCTTAGGCTCTGGCAAAGACACCCAGAGCAGCGCCAGTAGCACCACAGCGCGCCCGACCTTGCGCGATGTTGCTGGAGGCCGGCTCATGGCGGCAATCGTCCTAGCTGTCCTCTGGCTCGAGCAAAAGCACTGCAATCTGCATGAACGAATGGTCGAGCTCCCCCTATTTCAGTCACGGGCCAAGTGTTTAATTAACCAACTGCAATTCAACATGCGAAGCAGTTGCAAGTGTGCACAGGCAACTGCTGCAAGATGCCTCGGTCGGGGTTCTCGACAGGGATCGGGCCTTGCGGCGGCACACTCCCCCAAAGCCCATGACATGTGAAACCTTGCCACCCCCAAAGGCCCGTGAAATGTGAAACCCTGGCCCCAGTCTCAGGGTGGGAGGGGGATGGTGGGCATGGGAGGGCCGGGTGGGCAGTGAAGGGCCTGTAATCTTTCGAGCGCCCTTGGGGGCAGGTGAAGGGCTTGGGGTTTCTCGCGCTTCTGAAGGAGGTGGGAGGGCTCGGTTGGCCTCAGAGGGCAGTGAAGGGCCTCCAATCTCTCAGGGCGCTTCTCAGGTGTGGGAGGGCTCGGCGGGCCTCAGAGGGCAGAAAAGAGCCTCTCATCTCTCGCGCTTCTGACCGGTTTCAAGGTGGGAGGGCTCGGTGTGCCTCAGAGGAGCAATGAAGCGCCTCCTCACCCCCAAAACGTCTGTGCCCCCGTAACCCTGTGACCGTGACCCCCATGCCCCCCCGTAACCCCGTAACCCCGTGACCCCTTTCCCGTGCCCCCTGTAACCCCGTAACCCCGTAACCCCGTAACCCCGTAACTCCGTGACTCCGTGACCCCCCGTGCCCCCCGTAACCCCGTAACCCTGTGACCCCCTCCCCGTGCCCCCCGTAACCCCGTAACCCCGTAACCCCGTGACTCCGTGACCCCCGTGCCCCCTGTAAGCCCGTAACCCCGTGATCCCCCCCCCCGATGCACCGGTGCTCAAAATCCCGGCTCGAAAGGGTCACGGGGTTACGGGGTTACGCTTCCCATCCCGGCTCGAAAGGGTCACGGGGTTACGGGGTTATGCTTCCCATCCCGGCTCGAGAGGGTCACGGGGTTACGGGGTTACGCTTCCCATTCCGGCTCGAAAGGGTCATGGGGTTACGGGGTTACGCTTCCCATCCCGGCTCGAAGGGTCACAGGGTTACGGGGTTACGCGCTTCCCCATCTCGAAAGGGTCACGGGGTTACGGGGTTACGCTTCCCCATCCCGGCTCGAAAGGGTCACGGGGTTACGGGGTTACGGTTACGGGGTTACGCTTCCCAGTCCACCCAGAGAAACAGCACAGCCACTCCCGAGGTGCGCAGGACAATCAGCCGAAACACACCCTAAACCCTGCCTGCCGATGTGCTCGAAGATGTTGAAGAGGATGGCAAAAGAGCACCTGGGCCGCGAGAGGGGGCCCGGGGTTCCCGGAGAGGCGGGGGAGACGCAGGTAGAGCTACAGGGGAAGGGGAGGAAGGGCAGCACAGGGCACTCCTGGGCGCACACTGACCAGACCTCGCTGCCTCGGAGCCCTTGCCTACCAACTTAAACCCTAAACCTTGAACCTCTGCGGCGTCAGGCTCGGGAAAGCGGGGCGTGACTTGTGACTTCTGGGTGTCGGGCTCGGGAAACACGGGCGTGACTTTTGGGCGTCAGCCTCGAGAAAGCGGGGCGTGACTTGTGACTTTTGGGCGTCGGCCTCGGGAAAGCGGGGCGTGACTTGTGACTTCTGGGTGTCGGGCTCGGGAACACGGGCGTGACTTGTGACTTTTGGGCCTCGGCGCGACAAAGAAGGGCGTGACCTCTGGGCTGCGGCGTAAAAGCTCTTCAACTCCACTTGCCTCCGAAACCCGCTAAAAAAAGGCACGCCTCAATTCCAGGCAAGTCGCCACCCGAGCCCCCGAACCCCAAAAGTCACGCCCCTCCCCTCCGGCCCAAAACCCAAAAAGTCACGCCTCAACTCCCGGCCCAGGCCCCCAAAAGTCACAAGTCACGGCCCCTTCTCCGGGCCCAAACCCCCCAAAGGTCACAAGTCACGCCCCCTCCCCGCCGGCCCAAACCCCAAAAAGTCACGCCCTCAATTCCCGGCCCAGGCCCCCCAAAAGTCACAAGTCACGGCCTTTTCTCCCGGCCCAAAACCCCCCAAAAGTCACAAGTCACGCCCCTCCCCTCCGGCCCAAAACCCAAAAAGTCACGCCTCAATTCCCGGCCCAGGCCTCCCGGCCCAGGCCCCCCAAAAAGTCACAAGTCACGCCCCTCCCCTCAAGCCCCAAAACCCACCAGTCACGCCCTCCCGCTTCCCAGACCCCGAACCCCAAAAAAGCCACCCCTTCGGTCCAAAATCCAAAACTGCGGCCTCGTCTACCATGAAGGTGTCGAAGAAGCAGGCGACACCACAGCGAGGACCTGAAAGCAAGAAAAGGGCCCGGGGTTCCCGGAAGAGGTGGGGGAGACGCAGGGCACTGTAGAGCTACAACGGGAGGGCAGGGCACTCCTGGGCGCACACTGACCAGACCTCGCTGCCTGGGAGCCCACAAGCCTGCAACCCGAAACTCTACCGACCCTGAAGCCTCTGCGGATCACAGGAGGGGCCCGGGGTTCCCGGGAGGAGGAAGGCGCAGGGCACTCAGACGACCTCACTGCCTCACACCTGCCAACCCTAAACCCTCAAGCCTTGCAACACAGCGACGCACAAACTTCCAGACCTCGCTGCCTCAGAACCCCCAACCACCTTCCCAAACAACCCCTGAACCTCTGTAGCGCCCGGCGTTCGGTCCTGTGTCAGGACCCTGTGTGCTGTCTTCCTTAGAAGTGTTGCTGGCGTTGCCTGCTGCTGTTGCGACCACACCATAGATGCTGAAGGAAGGTCTCTAGTTGACATATGATTAGGATTAGGACGGTATCTTGTCTATTGCTGGCGCTTCGAGGAGCGAGCGCGGCCCAAGCACTCTAGCAAAAAAAGCGCAGGAAAAAAAGCAAAAAAACATGCCCAAAAACTATGCGAAAATCAAGCAAAGTCATGCCAAAATCAGCAAGAACATGCGGAACAAAAAATGCCAACGTTTAGGGTTTAGGGTAAATCCTAGGGGGTTTAAGGCAGGCCTGCTCGCCCTAGAGCAGTGATTCTTAGGCCTGCTCGCCCTGGAGCAGTGACGAGTTTCTAGGCCGCTGCCACGAGTCACTAAACGCAGTGGTGGCAACCGGTCATGTTCGCGATTCTGGCCAAAAACTCGACCGGCGAAGGGGGGCCCGCTCGGGCGACGACCTTTTTTCCGGGCACTTGGTTCAAAAGTCATGAGCTGGGCTCAACAACGAGAAGCGATTAGAATTGCAGCCGAGGCCGGGGTCAGGGCGAGGACCTCGGCGGCAGGCTCAGAAACCCTTCCTTTGGCACACCACCACCTCCGCTACGCGATGCTCAGCCCCCCGAACGGCGAGCTCACGAGGGCCGGCCAGTACTACTACCAACTGATCGACCGGCCGCCCCCGAGCCGGCAGTACGACCGCAACCAACCCCTCATCCGCGAGGGCCCGAACGATTACATCATGCTCCGGGGCGGCGCCAAAAAGCTGCTCCGCAGCCTCCAGCCCAACGGGAACTACCACTTGACCAAGCTCGGGAAGAGCTTCTTCAAGGACAAGTGGGTGGACTGGGTGGTGCACGTGCCCGTCATCATCCGCGGCATCCGGCGAAACGGCCGGAACCGCGGCATGCCCTACGAGCGCACGAAGCGCCTGCCCGTCACGGACCTCAACGTCACACTGCCCCGGCAGAGCGAGGGGCTCTCGGATGCCCAAGCGGCCCGGAACCTCAAGGCGTTAGCGGTGGCGCAGCTCGGGAACCCCGAGCCGAACGACATTATTTGGGAGCTGTCGGACGAGAGCTACTACCTGGACGCGACGAGGGAGTGGACCTTCAGCCAGCAGGCCACGCAGGTCGTAGACGACCGGGTGGTGGTGGAGACCGTCCTGGATCAGCCCCTGAGGGCTCTGCGGGACGTCTCCTACCAGCTGTACTGCGGCGACGAAATCCTAGAGTCCGCCTTCGAACAGCGGCCGGACAAGCTTTGCGTCCCTCGGCAGCTCGCGGAGCTGATGCGGCTGCCGCTGCAGGAGGTGCTTTCGGACTTCGACGCAATCTGCACCAAAAAAACGTGGCGGGAGCAGGGCATCACCCCCCGAGAGATCCGGGAATTCTGCCTTTGGCGCCAGGCCCCGATGTTCTACGTGGACTGCCAGGGCCGCCTGCTGGACAAGTATGAGCCTACCGTCAAGGAGCAGCGGGCCGTGGCCTTCACGAGCTGGAACGGCCACGCCTTCTTCTACAAATCTGCCCGCACCGTCGCAAAGTGCGAGCCGATGGGGGAGCGGGCCAGGTACCGGGGCGAGAGGAAGCCCGGCGAAACGCCCGAGTTCAAGGATTGGCGGGAGTGGGAGGGCGACGTCGCCAGCGGTCATTTCTACACTGAGGACCTGGAGCAGGTCCGGAGGGAGCTGCTGGCCGAGGGGCACTGCCCGAAGGTGGTCATGCGAAGCATGAGCGAGTGGCGGTGCCTGCGGCTGAGGGTGCGGGGCGGCGAGGACTGCGTCATCTCCGCCTTCCACGAAGACCTGGATGTGCTGCAGGCCTGGATGGGGCGGCTGGGGCTCCCCTATTGCGGGCAGCGTCTGGCGGGCGCCGCGAGCGAGGTCTTCCTTCACCTTCTCAAGGCCCGCCGCGATCCGCCCGGATCTCGGCAAGCCCTGCTCGCGGAGCAGGACCACCAGTGCAAGCTCTGCGCGGCCCCCATCACTGCAACCACGTGCGAGTTGGACCACATCGTCCCCGTGCACCAGTCCTTCGCCGCACAGGCCCAGAACCTCCAGGCACTGTGCCTCGAGTGCCACCGGAACAAGACGGCCCTGGAGTCCTCGCACGCCACGACACTGGAGTCGCGCTTCAGCCGGCGGGCTTACGAGCAGTACGTGGAATCGCCTCGACTCCCGCCGCTCGTCTTCAAGCTCAACAGCCACAAGCCGGACCACATCTGCCACGGTATAGACGTGGTGCGGTGCCGCAAGAACGGTCTGGCCCACGCCAAGTTCCCGGCGCCCATCTTCTGCCCCAAGGACAACGTTGAGCAAGCCCGCGAAGGGCACCTGGCGGACCTGACCTACGTGAGGCTCCGGGAGGACGGGCGTTGGGCGGCGTTCAAGCAGCTCCCCTACGTCGGCCAGGGCTGGTACGCCAAGCCTGCGGTGGCCTACATGCTGGAAAAGGGCCTTGCGACATGGAGCGACTTCGTGTACAGCCTGGACGCCACGGCGCACGTGGACCAGGAGTCCGTGGCTCAGGCCCTGCAGAAAATGGAGGCGGCTTGGCCAGAGGGAGAGGAGCACTACGCGAAGCTGTCGGTGAATGCCCTCATCGGGCTCTGGGCACGCAACATGAACCTCATCTACACCATGCGCACCAGCAACCACCAGTTCGACGGCTCCGGGTGCCAGCACCGGGAGCTGTTCCTGGACGCCGCGGGTGGGATGCACTGGGATCACATCTACGTGACCCAGTTGTTGTCCAACCACAGCTGCCGGCCCGTGCACGACTTCGTGATGGCCTCGGAGTACGTCGCCGTCTCCAGAATCCGGGATGCACTCGCAACCGTGCCGTCGAGGTACCTGAAGGCCGTCAAAACGGACTGCGTCGTTTTCCAGGACCTGCCCAAAAAGTTCCAGGGCCTCGTGGACAGCCTGGTCCGCGAAAGGCATCCCGACGGCACGCCCGTGTACCGATGCGAGGAGGTCAAGGGCCTCGAAGGCCAGTATCGGATCCCCCGAATCGAGGCAGAGTGGATGTGCAACATTGACACCTGGAAGGTCGCGGAGGACCCTGTGCTCCACTGCCTCGAGGGCGGGAGCCTGCTGCTGACCGGCTACCCGGGCACCGGGAAGACCCACCTGGCGCGCCAGATCGTGACCGCCCTCCGGGAAGAAGGGTACAAGGTGAAGATCATCACGAAGACCCACTCCTCCGTGCAGAACTTTGGAATGCAGGCGGAGACGGCCGACCACTGGGTGCGGAGCACCGTCCGGAACGGCTACTGCAACATCGACTGGCTGGCGGTGGAGGAGATTACGCAGCTCGACACGGGGCTGTGGAACGACATCGCCTGCGTCTCCATGAACCGCAAGGTCAAGTTCCTGCTGCTCGGCGACTTCCGCCAGTTCCCCGCGGTCATGGACAACTTCGCGGGCACCCCGGTGCAGCGGGAGCTCAAGCACTGCCAGCTGCTCCACGACCTCACCGACGGCTGGCACCACGAGCTCACCGAGAACAGGAGGATCGACCCGGGCATCTTCGACTTCCTCCGGTGGCTCCGGGTCGACGAGCCCCGGGAGCAGTCCCTCCCGGAAGCGGTCCGGGCGGCCCGGGAAAGGTTTCCGCGGCAAGGCGAGCCCGATGTCAGCCTGGTCATCTCCCACGCCCACCGCATCAGGATCAACGCGCGGGACAACCGTCGTCTGGCCCCGCCGGAAGCTGTGACGATCGAGTACACCAGCACTGGCCCGACGACCACCAACATGCCGCAGACCATGCGGGTCTGGCCCGGCCTGAAGCTCATCGGCGTCGGCGGCCGCGTGACCAAAGGCATCTACGTGCATGTGGCCGAAGTGGGCCCCGAGAAGATCGTCTTGGACGGCGGCGACTCCTTCACCCACGCCGCCCTCCTGAAACACACCCGGCTGTGCCACGCCATCACCTACGCCTCGTGTCAAGGCCTGACGCTCGAAGGGCGGGTCTTCCTGCGCGACACCGAGAGCCCGCACTTCACCCTCAAGCACCTCTATGTGGGGAGCAGCAGGGCCACCAGCAGCGAGCTCCTGAGCGTGCTCTAGAACGGACACTGAAAGGCCGGGGCTTCGGCCTCTCTCAGCTGCAGGTCCGTCACTTCCATCAGAAGCCCGCACTGGCCCGACATGAGCCATACCTGGCGCAAATCTGCGCGCACCTTGCATTCCCGACCGGCCAGGTCACCAGGGTCCTCCAGCGGCTGCTGGTCAGCGTCCCAGAAGTGGACTCGGGACAAATCGACCTTGAGCTTGATGAAGCTGTTCCCGCGGGAGGAGGTCTTGAGGCAGGACACGAAGCGACCCTCCACGTCCGACGCGGTGAGGTAGCGGCCGAAGATTTTCGAGTCGTGGAGGCATCGCTGGGTCAGCTGGCCCTTGATGTCCTTCTCGATCGCCTGCAGGTCTGCCTTGGAGTCGCCGGGCTTCCGTCTCGCTGCCGTAGGGGCTGGGGTGCCACAAGATGCGCAGCCACTCGTGGGACCGCCAGGCCTCCGCGCACACCGGGAAGAACTTGCCGCCACGCTGGTTGGTCGTAAGCTCACCGAGCTTGAGTACCGTTTTGGGCTCCATCGCTCCTTCTTTTTTCACGACAAGAAAAAAAATGCCGGCCACCGTCTCCACCGCGGAGTGCGTGGTGGCCCTGGCGTGCTTGCTGGTCCTGTGGGCCTTTTCTTTTCCTTCAACAAATGAGACTCCTGGAACTCTTCAGCGGCACGGGGTCGGTCGGACGTGCCTTCGAGGCCCGTGGCTGGGAGGTAACGAGTCTTGACAGCAACCCAAAAGCCAGCCCAACCATCTGCTCCGACATCCTGCAATGGGACTACAAGGCCTTCGAGCCCGGGCACTTCGACGCAGTGTGGGCCTCGCCCTGCTGCACCGAGTTCAGCATCGCACTCAAGAAGCGCCCCCGCAACCTGCCGCTCGGAGATGCCCTGGTGCTCAAGACCCTGGAGGTCATAGACTACCTCAAGCCTCGGTGGTGGGCCATCGAAAACCCGAGCACCGGGCGCCTCAAAACCCGCCCCTACATGCAGGGCCTCCACTGGGACAAGGTAACGTACTGCAAGTACGGCTTCCGCTACAAGAAGCCCACGGCCATCTGGCACAACCTGCCCTGGACCCCCTCCCAAGGCCCCTGTCGCAAGGGCGACCGCTGCGAGGCCTTCCAAGGAACTCGTCACCCAGAGGCCGCGCAGCGAGGGCCCACCAAGGGGCGCCAGGGGAGCAACTCACGGGACCAGCTCTACTCCATCCCGCCTGCGCTGTGCGACGAGATCGACGCGAGCGCAACACTTGGGTTAAATGGGCAAGGTGCGTCTCTTCAAGACGCCTGAGTACTCCGTCAAGCAGCCGCCTGACCCCGTGGTTTGCAAGCCCCCCGCCAACGGTATTTTGTGTGCCCCATCTGCAAGCGGAAAGACGGTACTCCTTGTGAGCATGATTTTGGAGCAATACCGGGGCTGCTTCGAGCGCATCTATATCTTCTCGCCCTCGGTGGAGGTCGACTCTGCCTGGCAGCCTGTCAAGGATTACATCCGAGACGAGCTGGGCGTGAATACGGACCGGGAGCAGTGCTGGTGGGAGGATTGGGACGAGGGGGCGCTCCGGAAGATCATCTCGGACCAGAAGCGCATCACCCAGAAGAGCAAGGAGCTGGGCCTCAAGAAGCTGTACCAGGTTTTGGTCGTTCTAGATGACCATGCCGATAATCCTGCGGTGCACCGCAAGACGGGAGATGGCGTTTTGGACACGCTTTTCATCCGTGGCCGACACTTCTGCATCAACACCTGGGTGAGCACCCAGAAGCTGCGGCTCATGAGCTCCGCCGTGCGGGTCAACGTCATGTTCTACTGCGTCTTCCGGTTGCGAAACCAACTGGAGCTGGACGCCTTGGTGGAGGAGCTGAGCGCCATGCTCCCGAAAGAGACCCTCTACGCCATGTACGAGGAAGCCACGAGCGAGCCCTACAGCTTTTGGTTCGTTAACCTCCGCGCTCCCAAGGAAGACATGTTTTGGGTGCGCTTCGACCGGAAGTTCTTGCTAAATGGGGACGCTCCTGAGCCAGATGGCGGCCAAGTTGTTGGGGGGAGGCCCGATGTGCGAAAGTGAGTGCAGCAACATAAGGTGCTGCACCAGCACGCAAGGCATCTACGACCCCAGCCACTGGCCGCCACCAGAGAGGCCCCGACAAACCTCCGACGGGTCCAACGCCAGCGAGTTCTCGGCGCGGCCCACCCGGTTTTTCAGGCGTCGTTCTAAAAAGGGCATGACGAGTATCTACGTGGACTCGCGCCTCCGCGCGGAGGGCACGGACAGCAGCTTCTCCTTCGACATCGGTGAGAGTGTGCACATTCAATCCGGCGCCAAACTTGCCGTGTACAAGGTCCGTGTTGCCGACGCCTTCCTGAGCACGGACCGCGGGACGTTCTTGTACTGGGAGGACACGGTGGCCGGCACCCTGCACTACGCGGAGCTCCCGGTGGGCGCGTACACAGGGCCGCGATTGGCTGCGTGGATCAGCAGCAACTTCGCTTCCGCCAGCTACACCGCCGAGACCAATGAGCTCGACGTGACCTACGACGGCGTGCGCCTCATCCTCAACGATGCCGAGCTCCGGCAACGCTTCCCAGGCACGGCCCCCTACCCGCCGGGCGCCTCGCCCAGCAAAGCCCTGTCCATCAACCATCTCCTTGGCCCCAGCTACCTCACAGGCTCTGTGCAGCGCTTCGTCTTTGTGACGATGAATCCGTTCTCAGAACTGTACCTCAGGTGCCCAACACTGGCCAACGGGGAGACGACAGTGGGCCCGTTGGGGCACGACATCCTCTGTAAAATCGTCGTTTCGAAAGGCGTGGGCCACGTCATGGAGACCGAGACGTCAGAGGGGCACTGGGTTCAGCTGCATGGGCCCATAACCCTGCGTCACTTGCGCTTCAAGCTCACCGACTACCAGGGCAACATCGTAAACACTCGAGGCACCAGCATTTCGTTTGTGGTTTTCCTCGACACCGAACGATAAAAAAAAATAATTGGAAAAGAAAATGGCTGAGGATGAACCCGCTCCTGTGGCCACCGAGCCCGCCGTGGCCGAGCCTCCCATGGCCGAGCCTCCCGAGCCTGCCGAGCCTGCCGAGCCTGCCGCGGTGGCCGAGCCGCCGACCAAGGCTCCTCAGGAAGCGCCCCAACCCAAACGACGAGGGCGACCGCCAGGTTCGAAGAACAAGCCAAAGCCGCCCCCGACTGTGGCCGTGGCGGAGCTTCCGAAGCATACTGAGCCGCCGGCACCGGAGCCGCGGCAAGAGCCCCACCAGGAGCGAGCACAGGAGCCCCCACATGAACCCCAGCAACCCGTGCGCATGACACCCTCGGAGGCTCGCCGCGCTCGGCAGCTCTCCCGCGCCGACCGCTTCCACGAGCTCCTACTCGCAAACACTATGGACTTGTAAAAAGAGATGATGCCCTTCCGCGAACGGCGCAACGAGGCCGCAATGCTGCGAGCCTTCCACAAGCAGTACCCCAGCTACAACCTGACGCCGCTGCTCTACAAGCGGCAGCAGCAATTGATCGATGCCCGGGCCTTCAACGAATGGTTGGCCAACCGGCGTCAGCGCCAGGAAGGTGAGGCATACGCAGACGAGCTGGGGCGCATGACCGACGCCGTCAACAGGAGGATCCCCCAGTTGAGGTGGGCCCCCGCCGAGCGGGCGGGCGTGCGTCGCGTGGCCCGCGACGTGGCTGCCGGGCGCAACACTAGCGACTCTGCGGTTTATGGCGGCCTCATGTAAAGATGGAGGAGCGGCGTGCGCACGGCTTCCGCGTACAGCCGTCATACTCACAGGTCCTGGGCTACATCGCTGAGGGCGAGCCCTTGCCCATCGACCTCCCAAACCGCAATGCCAGCATCCTGACTTCCAGCCACTTCTGGCTGGACGACTATCCCCAGAGCTCCGAGCCCGAGCCAGCCCCGCTGCCCCACACGACCGTGGACCCCGCGGCGGCCTTCGAGGACGCCAATGAAGGGTATGATGGCGTGCCCTTCCCCCGCCGAGATTTCCTGCGCCCCCGGCCTTTGACCTGGACAGCGAGTCTGATTTTGGGGCTGTGGACCCAGGCCAAGCTCTGAGAAACGACGGGCTGGAGCCCCCAGCACCGCCAAGCTTCTTGAGCCGATTGCAGCAGGCCGAGGCCGCGGCGGGAGCAGCGGCGGGGCTGGCGGGCTCCGGCTCCGCCATCGCGGGGCACGGGCAGGACCTCTACAACGCCGCTCGCAGGGGGCGCAATTGGATCGACCGGAACCTGCGCATCCCGCGCACACCCGAAGGCCTGGCGCCCCCGCCCGACGAGGTGGCCCCTCCGCAGATCATCGGCAGGCCCAGCGAGGTGGAGCCGCTCCTGGAGCGGGCGGGGCAGCGGGCCCAGGAGGTGGAAAGGGCTGCAGCCCAAGACATTGAACAGTTCATGAGCGAGCAGGTGGCCGAGGCCGAGGCCACGGAGGGCTTCGCTTCCACCGCAGAAGTGGCTGCGGGGGCCGCAGAAGCGGCAGCTGCAGCGGAGGGCCCGAGTGCACTGGCGCTGTTTGGAGAGGCTGCATTGGGCACGGCTGCGGGCATGGGAGCAGCAGCAGGAGGCCTTGCCGTGGCGGGTGGGGCAGCGGCGCTTGTGGGCACTGCGTGGGCGCTCCACGGCGGCATGGTGGCCGCAGAACATTTGCTGGGCTGGGGCGGCGGTGGCGGCACCGACACGGACGCTTCGCGGCCCAGCTCGGCCCCAGACATTCAGACTCTCAACGGCATGCAGGAGTTCGGTGCTGAGCAGCACTTCCAGCTCCGAGAACAACAACGCCCGCGGACACAGTTCTACCGCATGGACACCGAGGACGAATCGGGGCCGCGGGCCCAAGGGTGCAGGCCCGCCCCGCGAGGCCCACGCGCTTCCCCACGGGCCTCAATCCCGCCCCCCTGGCGCAGTCCTCGGGCAGTGAGAGCTCCTCCCGCGGGCCTCGCATGCAGCCGCAGTCCCGCGCCGCGCCGCCCCCTTCCTTCGAGGCGCTTCGGAGCGCGAGCGAGCCGGAGGCCGCGTGAATCTTTCACTACAAGTAAACAGTATGGAGCAGGTAACTGCTGCCGTCAATGATGAGCTCGTACAATCCCTTTCATTCAAGCTGGAGACCTCCAACGTCAATTACGTGCAGAGCCGCAAGGACGTGCAGTACTATCCGAGCTCGCTGAGCGTCTTCACGCCGACCACGAGCCGCGTGTGCAGGATCCCGCTCACGTCAGGAATGGACTTCGTGGACGGGGAGTCCGTCAAGCTGGGCTTTACGGTGCGCAACACCTCCACCACGGCGACGCTGCAGCTCTCCTCGCCGGACCCGTCGTGCCTCATTGACCGGATAGAGGTCTTCGCGAACGGCACCCGCATCGAGGACATCTCCTATTACAACCGCTGCTCGTACCTCTACAGCCTCCTGAAGAACGAGGAGTGGTGGCTGAACCGGCACATCCAGGGCTTCCTGGCGGACGGCGGGGGCCACGCCGAGGAGATCCCGGCCTCGGGCTCCCGCACCGTGCTCATGAGCCCGCACCTCATCGGGATCTTCAACTGCGGCAAAATGTTGCCCCCCGAGCTCGGCATTGTTCTTCAAATCACCTTCTGCGACCCCACCGACGGGGCCCGCAACATCAGCGGGAGCCAGGAGTACACCATCGAGAACGTGAAGCTCTACGCCTCCCAGGTGACCCTCGACTCCGCCCTTCGCGAGAGCTTCCAGAGGATCATGACCAGCGGCCGCAGCCTGGTTTTCAGCTTCCCGACGATGCACACGCAGCTCTCCAGCATCCCCGCAGGGTCCACCAGCTACAATATTACAATAGCACGGGCATTTACGAAATTACTCGGCGCCTTTGTGACGTTCAACAAGACCACGGAGGACCACGTGGACAATTTCGAGTACCCTGGAGCGAATGCGAATCGGAACCTCAAGGGCCAGCTGCAGCTGGGTGCGTTGCAATATCCTAGGACGGCCAACGAGAGCATCGCCGAATGGCACCACTTTTTGGAGATCCTAGCGGGCACCTATGACTCCAAGCTTCGCAACACGCGCATCCGGGACAACCTTTACGGGAACACGCAGTTCATCGCGGCCTTCCCGGTGGAACGAGTGCCCAAGCATCCGCTCTCGGGCATCTCGACCCGCTCCGGCGACCTCTGTCGCTTCAGCTTCAGCAACATGGAGGCGGAGCGCGTGGACCAGTGCTTCGTGCACATGCTCTCCTACCAGCTCGTGACGCTCTCAGGAGCTGGGGTCAGTTCCCTCGACTAGTAAAACATGAGTCTTTTTGAGTCGACCATCACCGGCAACATCCTCAACGATGGCCAGACCCCCATCACCACCATCGAGATGCAGGGGATCTCTGCGGGGCAGCTCGCAACGGTCCTCACGGCCTACACACCCCTCACAGACACCGCTGCCAACACCGCATCCATCGGGACCAACTCGTCCGCCGTCGCGGCGCTGCAGGGCCAGGTGGCAGCCATCCCGGCACCGCCCGATTTGACCCCTTACGCTTTGGCAGCTGACTTGGCAGCCGCCGAGGGCCTCATCGCCGGCAACGCTTCTTCCATAACCACTCTCAGCACCAGCCTCACCACGGGTCTGGCGGGGAAAGCGAACCAAAGCGCCCTCGACGCGCTGCAGCTGGACGTGAACTCCAAGAGCACGCCCGCCTCCGTGGACCTCAAGCTAGCCAACCATCCCACTAACGCTTCCATGAACAGTGCCATCACCAGTGCCGACAACGCAGTACTCGCGCAGGTCGCAGCCACCTATGGGCTGAAGAGCACGCAGGACCAGCTGGCCCTCGACGTGGCGGCCCGGCAAACAGCCGCTGATGTCGACCAGAAAATAGCTACGGCTCTTTTGGACCGGCCCACAACCACTGACCTCAACAGCACAGTGGCCCTGCGCACCACGCCCGCGGACGTTTCGCAGCTCATCGCTACGACAATTCTTCCTTTCGTGCAGCAGACGACGCTGGACGCGGCCCTTGCCATCCGAGACGGGAGGCTCGATGCCGCCGAGGCGGCCCTGGCGGTGCTGCAAGCCGCGGGCTTCCAGTCGGCTGCCGACGTGGCTGCAACTCTTGCCACCGCACTAGCGGGCTACACGGACACTGCGGGGCTCGGCAGCTTGCTGGCCGTGCGAGATGCACGCCTGGACGGGCACGACACGGAGATCCTGGCCCTGCAAGGTGCCGGACCTTACGCGACGGCGGCGGACCTGTCGGCTTCCGAGACGAGCCTGCAGTCCGCCATCGACGCACTCAATGCGGCACTGGCTGCACTGACCACGGGCGGTGGCACGAACCTCGCCAACGCCCAGGCGTGGTCCGGGCAGACGACCTGGGATCTGCTGGTCGGAACGAACACAATTAGGAACTGGCACTTCAACGCTCCCCTGAGCGTCTCCCTCGAGAACGACAACTTCACGCTGAGCCTGGCCTGCGATGCGTACACGCAGGCGGAGGTCAATGCTCTTCTGGCGCCCCTGGCCAGCGAGTCCTGGGTGCTGGCCACCCTGGGCAGCTACTACACAAGCAGCGAAACCAATGGAGCCATCACTGCAGCTCTGGTTCCGTACAGCACCACCACGCAGATGGATGCCGCGATTGCTGCGGCTGTGGGCGGCATCGACTTGAGTGCATACGTGCCGTGGACCGGGCTTCAGGCGCCCATCCTGAACGAGATCGCTTTTGCGCTCGCATCCTACTACGACTCCGCGCAAGTGGACGCCCTCATTACGGGCGCAGCTGTTTCCAATGCGCCCGCCTGGAGCGGGAACACCACCTGGGAGCTGCTGACGGGGCAGGCCCTGCGGAACCTGCACTTCACCGGGCCCCTGGTGGCCAGCCTCCAGAACTCGGGCAACACGCTGCAGATCGAGTGCCAGGCCTACGACCAGAGCCAGACGTACACGCAGGCCGAGGTAAACACCCAAATCTCGAACGCCGTGGACGCCCTGAACGTTTCGCAGTACGCCACGCAGGCCGACATCGACAGCTCCATTGCTTCGGAGCTGACCAACTACTGGGACCAGGGCGAAACCTCGGCGGAGATCGCCAGCCAGATCAGCTCCTCTGGGCTCCTCACCGAAGCGCAGGGCGACGCCCGGTATCATCCCGTCAACGGCAACGCCGGAGGCGGAGGCATCATCCCTATGGTCCTCGACAACTTCACGCCCAGAATGATAAGGGCGCTGCTGCCCCAGGCACCGTTGGGAGCGAACCTGATCCTGGGCAACTCCGCCACGGTGCAGCTTACGTGCGACTGCTACAGCAAAAGCGAAAGTGATGGGAGGTACTTCTCCAACAGCGACTTCACGCCCCTGGACTCCAGGTACCATGTGGTCAACGGCAACGCGGGGGTTCCTATGGTGCTCGACAACTTCACGCCAAGAATGATAAGGGCGCTGCTGCCCCAGGCACCCCTAGGGGCGAACCTGATCCTCGGCAACTCCGCCACGGTGCAGCTGACCTGCGACTGCTACAGTAAGGCCGAAAGCGATGCCCGCTATGCGCTGGCGGGTGCGCCGCCCTCGGATCCCCTGCTGGTCAACGACGTGAGGGCCAACGGAGCGGATTTCTTGACGCTGCGGGGCGGCAACCTGGGCATCGAGTTCGAGGCTTCCAACGGGGCCGCCGTGGCCGACCTGTCCTCGAGCCAGTTCAGCCTCAAGACGGGTGTCAACATGCTGACCATGGGCCGCATCTTCGCAGACAGCAGCCTGGGCATCGCCACGGCCGGCAGCATCCAGGCGGATACGGTGGAGCCCCTGCTTCCGACCAATCAGTTCCTCAACCTGAAGTCGGGCACCGTGTCCGTCAGGGTCACGGACCAATCAGACCAGAGCCTCTGCACCTTCGCCACATCAGAGGTGCACACGGTGGCCCCGAGGCTGCGAGTGGACACAGAGCTCTACATCGACGACGCCGCGGGCACGGCCACGGGGCTCGTCACCAATGCGATCTCCACGCGCGCCCAGGACACGGAGCTCACTATCACTGGCGGCTCGGGAGGCACTGTCGTCAACGGGGCGCTGGACGTGTTGGGCACGCTGACCTCAGGGAGCGTGGAGCTGTCCACGGAGCTGCGGGCGCCTACGGTGCGGGCCCGAGCCACCGACGATTATTTGACCCTCACGGGCGGCACGCAGGGGACCTACCTCAACTCCGTGCTCTACACCGCCAGCGCCATCCGCGCAGACAACGGCATCGTCTCGAGCCCCGCGTACCTGGAGCTCATTGGCGGCAGCACGGGGGTGCAGGCACAAGGAGATTTGCAGGTTGTGTCCACTGTCAACAGCGGCAACGTCACGGCGGAGGTGCTAAACCTCGCGACTGCGGGCAATGCGCGGCTCCTGGTGGCCTGCAACGCGGGCTCAGGGGAGCTCTCCGCCTCTTCCGCGGGGGGGGTACAGCTCTACGCCCAGGACCAGGCCATCTTCCTGCGCACGGCTGCGACCGGGCCGGCCAACCTCATCGTGGCATCGAACACGGGCGGGGCCAACGACGGGGAGGTGGTCGTGAATTATGGGTTCCAAAATCTGTCGGACGAGAAGCTGAAGCACAGCCTGGAGCCCGCGGGGCTCGAGGAGCTGCAGCAGCTCTTCGACGCCGTGGCACCCAAGTGGTACCGGCGGACCGAGGGGAGCCAGAAGCGTACGTTGGGTTTCATCGCCAACGAGGTGCTGGAGACGGGGCCCGTGGGCCAGGCCCTGTGTGGCAAGCTCGTGGACGAGGAGCTCGGAGAGCTCATTACTCTTGACTACAACCGCATGTGCTGCGTTTTGTGGGGAGTCTGCCAGGGGCTCCAGGCCCGTGTGGAGGCTCTTGAGAAGAAGGGCAAGAAGCGCTCGTGATATAAAATGGACGCGGAGAACGTGAACCTATTCCGGCAGCTGGCCGCGGACTTCTCGGTCCGCGATGTGCGGAAGCTGCACCAGCTGGCACGGAGGGAATTCCCGGACCGGCCGGGCATGACCTATGCCCGAGCCGCGCGAGCTTTGCGGGACGACGTGGCCAAGCAGATTTTGGCCCCCAAGCCCCGGTCTTTAGGCAAGAGTGCGGCCGAGGGGCCCAACGATCGGCTGCAAGCTGATTTGATCGACTTCAACGTCAACACTCGGGGGGCCAACAAGTACGGGCTGATTGTCTCAGACGTTTTCACCCGAGAAGCAGTGACCAAAGCCCTGCCCGACAAGAAGACAGAGACGATCTCGGCAGCAGCCCGGGAGATCATCCCGAAGCTGGTGGAGGAGGAAACCAATTATGTTGTGTCCACGGATCAAGGGGTTGAATTCAATGGCCTGGAGGGGGCGCTGCCGGACCCCGTGGTGCACAGAGTGAAGGACCCCTCGGATCGGAACGCTCTGGCAGTGGTAGATAGAACCATCCAAACCTTGAAACGGGACCTGGCCAGCGACGTGGCCCGGCATGGGGGCAACTGGAGCGAGCACCTGCCTGACGCAACCTTGGCCTACAACCGCCGGCCACACGAGGCCGTGCATGCGGCCCCCGAGGATGTGGAGCACCAAAAATCCACCATGTTCCGATTGTACCAGGACAATGCCAAAAAGTTCCAGCACAACATGCAGCTCACCCGGCGCAGGCAAGAGAGACTGGAGGAGATGGGGGCCTTCCGGGCCCCAACCAATGCGCGACGAAGCTTTGAGCCCCAATATGGAACTGCCAAGGATGTGGCATCCTACGACAGCATGGTGGTCAGGGCCACCGATGGCTCCGAGACCTTACTAAAGCATGCCTTACCCGTGCCCCGCGGGAGCGCTGAGCCTAAAGCGAGACTCACCCGCCCACCAGTGGCGCTGGCAATCAGGCAACTCTTCAATCCAGGGCCTACTGCCCCGCCCTGATTCTTTTCATGCATGATAAATGAGCTCTGGGCTGTCAGCTGCGTGTGAAGCTGTCATGCAAAATCCTTCTGAGCAAAATCTGGTTAACCTGCTGGATTGTTGGTCACCACAATGGAAGGCAACACCCCTTGCATGTCGAAAGCATCCCCCATGAAAGAAGCATGTGTCGCAGTCAATCGCGAGATCGCTTTCCAAATGGAAAATGGACTTCCCTCGCAGTGATTCTGAACCCTCACATAGGACTCCACCGCGACATGGGGAACATGATTGGCATGCCCAATTATGCGATCGCACTTGGGCAGCTTTGCTGGAGGCAAAGTCTGGATTGAAGATGAACAAGGCACGTCACTGGACGAAGTTGTGATGAAAAACAAAATTCATCAGCTTCGCGGATCCTGGCTGGACATGCACGACAATTCAGTGTCCTTCGACGCGCGCCGGTTCCACAAAGTCGAGCCACATGTCGGTCACAGTGGGCCATTGCGGCATACACTCCCACTGCTTTCTGTGTTTGTGGCCGATGGGTTGCAGCGGTCGCAATGACTCACGTGACTGCCGTGACTGTGGCTGTGACTGTGACTGATTCATGGTTTCTGATTCATGAAGATCACAGGACTCATGACTTATGACTCGTGGCTCATCATGATCTCATGTCATGAGTCATGACTGAATGAATGATTGATGACTGATGATTGATGATTCATACTTCACAATGCATGTTGATTCATGATGCGATGCGATGATGCGATTATGATTGATGCCAATGCCAGGCAATGCGGCAATGCCAGGCCAGGACCGCGTGCCAGCACCAGGACCGCCGGGAAGCCGGACTGCCAAGATGCCAGGGCTCAGGACTCAGGACCTGGCAGGATGATGATGACGACGATGATTGATGATGATGATGATGATGATACAATGACACAATGTGATGATTTATGATATGCTATGATCTGATATGATGATGATGATGATGATGATGATGGTATGATGATGATGATGATGATGATGCTGCTGATGATCTTCTGCTGAGGATCTGCTGACGCTGCTGGGCAATATGAGACTCTTGATGAGACTGCCGACAGGTTTGTTAATCTGGCCCTATGGCCCTAGAACACCATGCCGCGCCCGAAGTTTCGGCCATACTTAGCTCCGTCGTGGGTAATGGGGCCATGCAATCCATGTGGCCCCGCTTCGCACCCCCGAAGTTCAGCATGTCCCTGTGCAGGCTTCGTTCCTTCTTTGCTGGAAAGAACCAACAGCTTGCAACACCACCCCAGCAAGTCTCCAAGACCCTGAGGCGTAACTCTGAGCGTAAAAAGTGTGTCTTAGCACTGGTTCTGCCTGATCGAAATCGATCGCGCCCTGCACTCAAGGGGGGCTTTAAGAGAGACTTGAAGGGACTTGAAGGGTCAAGGGGAACTTCAAGAGTCGCTTTAAGGAGGGCTTAGAAAAGCTTCAAAGGGGCTTTCTTAGAATCTCTCAAGCTCCAAGCTTTCCCTTCCGACGGCACCCCGCCTTGACGTGGCAGAAGGGCTCTAGTACCCTTCAGAGGGGAACCAGGAGGGTGCCACCCCAGCAAGTTCCTGAGGCCCCTTCATAAAACCCCGCTTGCAGCCCCCTTCTTTGCCTGCGACGAAGTGATAAGAAGATTTCTCAGACTTGGGTTTTTTGCCTGACGGCAAAATGTTTCTTGCAGTTGCAACAAGGCCATTTGAAGGGGCAGCAAGTTTGTCCAAGCATTATGAAGTTAATCTGGGTGGCTGCACCAGTGGATTGACAAAACGTGCCTGCGTGCAATAGTATCTTGCCACCAGGGCTTGTGACTGCCGTATCGCCAAAAGGTCTCTTGTTGCACACGATGTCATGGGGGGTCTTAAGAAGCCACGTGAGAAATTTTCTTCCAAACCGTGACCGTAAGCCTTCCTGCGTTCACGGATCTTTGTTGGTGCTAGGATCAGCGGCTCTGCGCGGTGGCCTGCTGTGGCGGATGTTCTGCAACTGGCCTTACGCAACCAAAGTTCTGTTTCCAGCGCAAGCGGCTCATGAGCTTGGTCGGCCGATCCTGTCCGCGTCGCTGCTGGGTGACAAGTCAGAGATGACACGTGTGGCGTCGTGCTACCAGTGGAGGCAGTGGTGCCAGTAATGGTTCCTCGCACGTCCGTACTGGCAAATCGACCCCTCCGAAGCATGGAGAGCCCGCTTATTGGGTCCATTAGGCATCTTAAGCGGGGTGACTGGAGGTTATTAGGTTTCACAGCTGCAGGAAACCTTGAGATGGCATGAAGGGTATGATCAGGTTGCATGGGAAAACTCAACAGCTTCTCTGTGTGTGGAAAGAGCAACGGGGTCTCACAGCATGAGCGCCCCACTCATCACACATCTTGAAGGTAAAGACGTGTATCGCACCTGAATGCAGGGGGTGTGGCGCAGTGCGTCTGGTTTGCCCATGTTGCAGGGGGATCCGAGGAAGCAACCAAGACCACCTCCAGGCAGGCCAGCTAAAGTGTGACCATGCATGCTCCCCGGCAGAACGTGAAGAAGCAAGTGCGTGCAGAGTGTCACAGTTCAACGAGTGCCGCGCCTTATGCTCGAAAGTGTAGGCATGAAGGCAAGGGTTCATTAGACCTGAGTGAGTCCGTGTCAGCCAACCAGGACCCTTGGTGAACAACCCTGTTCGTGCATGAGGGAGGCAGTAAGCCCAGGGCAGTATGGAGGAATTAGGTCGTTGGCCCAGACAGGCTCCGGTGCTACGTTTCTTTGGAGCAGGATGGGCTGCATCGTAGCCACATGTGCACCCTGTCGGTAAACCTGCTAGAAACTGGAATGATCGCCACAATCGCACCTTTTCGGCTGAAAGAGGCGCTACGGCACATGCTGAGCAGTTGTCTAGTTGTACCGAACAAGGTGCTGAACGTGCAAGGCGATCTCAATGCAACCGGCTTCCAGCGGGATCTAGACCTGGGGTGTGAAAGGGTATTGAGGACCGAACTCATATGGTGCTGCAGGGCTCTGAGTGTGCAGCCATGATGATCTCGCTCCGTTCGCGGGCGCAGTGCAGTACGAGCAACTCGTTCCCTGGTGACAGAGCATCATCAATCTGCTCTCCAAGGCTCGTGCACCAGTCCGGCATGTTCTCGCCCCTGTTGCTTGAGGCACTCGGACGTTGGGAGGCATCAGGTGGCATGCCGTGGGGTGATCAGTATGGTACCTGGGTCGGACCCGACGCGCATCGGAGTGTCCTTGCTCAACTGCAGTGGCAGGGGGGTGTGTGGCCGCGCGCTCGGTAACTCCAACCGGGGGCTGGGTGCACCCAGTGGTTGAGCCTTGTGCATGTGCATGTGCGAGCCTGGCACAGGACTTGCAAGTGATCTGATGCCATGCCCTGAGGACGAGATGAGTTGCCTGCTGAACCTGTATGTGCGGGCAATGTAGGGCAATGCGATCCGCTTCACACTCTATGTTGAACTGCTGCTCCCGACTTGGCCAGACCGAGCCAGCGTCTGAAGAAGAGTCGGAACTGGAGCTGTAGAGCCGCTCCATGACCTGGTCAGGTATCAACTTGCTTGCCGTGCTTAGGGGAACATTGTGCACTCGCCTAGGTAAGGCAGTGTCGGGCCCCCACCCCGCAATCCAGCTCCCAAACAGCCTAGAGCCTAACGCATCAACACGGACAATGCAGTCAAGCAGGCGTGTTCCTTGCAGTTGCCCATGCGGGTGATCGGGGCAAGCTTGTGCATCATGGAGGTGGTGAGGGAAAAGCGCAGACCGTATAATTGCATGGCTCAAATTGATTCCCATCCCGGATGGCCCTGAATTTTGAAAGCTAGTCCGATTCTGTGAGCTGCTGACTGCACAGGGGCAAGGTGAAGCAAGAATCTCAGAACGTCTTCCTGTGTCCGGAACAGCTGGTGCACCTGCAATGCGAGATGCGTGCAAGGGCTTCCGTATGAGCAACCAGGCAAGACTTGAGAGCCCCTCGTGAACCTGTCGGTGCAACATCTTGTCTGCGACAAAGGCAAAGGCACAGCACTGCTCCGCGTCAACCTGCGCGACTGCTACTTGTGTAAAGGTGTATGCAGGGGCGCAACAAGTCACTGCGTGCAGAACATCCAAGCAGACCGTGGTTGAGGAGGGCCTGCCTGTGCGGGGGCGCTCAGTGGGCAAGGTCGGGGTAGCACGTTGGCAATGTCTGTCTCGCCTCAGCCGGCCTGAATGCACTGTGCGTGACCAGGGGGTCTGGAGGCGCGGCTGCAAGGGGCACGCACCTCTTCGACCACAGGTTCTGCTCCACCACTGCTATCACTGGGCTGCTCCGTAGGTACTTCATCTGACATTGTTTCTTCGCTAGATCCGCACGGTGAACTGGAGCCCGGGGCGGAGGAAGCAGGTCTCTTGGGAGTTCTGCCCATTGAGGCTCGCCGCTCCCTTCGCTGCCTGTGAAGAGCAGCGCCTTCGGCCAGTTCCGAATCTGTACTTTCGGCCTGAACCATGTCGTATTCATCCGCATCATCGTGGGCCCCCGGCATGTTGCCAGCAGAGTAAGTGGACGCGCTCCGTGTCTCCGCCTCCACTAGCAGCATCCACGTTGGCTCTGGGTATCCAGAGACCATCGATCTGACCATCTTGATCAATGCTATGGCCCATAAAAATCTCGGCGCATTCTGCCCGACCATCCATCGGTGGCAGGCGCCAAGGAGCCTTCGGCTGTAAGCTCCGTGTCCAACGTCCAGTCCAGAGGGGTAGTCCCATTCGAGCCGTCGATCGCAGAGGCAGAGCCTGAAGCTGCTGGCAGTGACATGTCGAACCGCTCTGCCATTGTGGCTGCGCGGCCCGGTAGAAGACCGGGCTTCTTTGGAGCGCCATGAACCACAATCATCATCGCAGAATGCAGCGTAATCTGCGCACGAGGGAATCCATGGCGGCTACCGTGGAGATCAAAAGGGGAGGTCGGCCTCGCCCCTGACTTCGCCAAGTCACGCAGACTCAGCGGAACTGCACAGCTACCAGCTACCCTGCCCTGTGGCCTGCCCGAACGCAACAGAAAAGGAACCGAGGACCCACACCCCAAGACCACCAGAAAGAGGAGAGAAGAGAGGGAAAAGAGGAGACAGACACACGAAAAACCCCACTACCAAGAAGCTACGGCTGTGAGCCTTCCTGAAGATAGCAGACAGCGATGTCTAAGTGACGAACTCGTCTACTCAGACCTCGGTTTAACATTGCTGAAGGTCGGTGTGCAACCGGATCTTGACCTCTGACTCTGCCAATTGGCCAATCAGAGTTGCCAGTCCCTCGCTCTCTTGCACAGCAGTCAAGATTGCTCTCAACTCTGCTTCACAGGAACTCAACGACACGACACACACCCTTGAACGCGGGAAATTCCCTTTGTCAAGCATCCTCTGTAAAAGATGGCAATGCCTGACACTGATCTTCGTCCTAGCGCAGCCTGGGGTGCCCAACTGGCATCCGCGTACACTTCCATTGGGCATTGCTTCAACCCAACCTTCTTCACCACAGTTGCCAGCTTCAAGTTCCAAGCCTTGGCGGCAACCCTCAAACCATTCATAGCCTGATCCAAATCATATAAGCCGGGACATAATAGTCCTTGCACGCAGAAACATCTTTTGGCAATTGGATAATCGCTTTCGATCCTTTCGGAAGAGGTGAATGCAAGAAGGCAGTGGATACATCCAAAGTCGCAATATCCAATGGCTAACAGCATCCTCAACGCTTCAAGAGAGAGAGTCGTAGTACTCAATCCCAATGACGATGCAGTGCTCCCTTTTGCGATATCTTGCACCATGTTGTGAGTGCTATGGTAGATAGATGTCCCAGGCACTTCGAGTGAAGTCCATCAAGCGCATAAACATTTGCTCAAAGCTGATCGGATTGAAGGTGAAACAGACAAGGCCTTTGAGGGCAGAGTGTCTGATGGTCCGACCACAGACATGAGCAAAGCAGGACCTCCAGCTGCATGGGTGAAAGAGCATGGAGAAACGGTGAATTGTCCGGCTTGTGGGCCGAAAAGAGGTAAGGCGAACCACAATGCTGAGTGTCGAAAGCGATATGACGACTGGTTGAAGGCTCAACGACAAAGATTGGAAAGAGGAGAGACAACCGAAAGTCCAGATATGGGTCCGAGAAGCTCAAAGGATGCAGCGTGATGGAATCTGGAAGTGACCCTTCACTCCCTGAAACGTCCGAAGATCACCCATGAGAGTCAATAAGATCTCCAGGGTGGAGAGAGGTAAAGTGCCCCGACACCTCCGACAGAGGTGGTAGACGTCAATATGGATGAATTTGAGGATCCCAGTTTGCCGTATGGTGGGATTCCAGATGAAGCAATGGAGCCTGGATACTTTGAAGGAGAAGAAACTCCTGGTGGGGATGAGGCTGTACCTTGGAAGAGAACAGACCTCAGATGGATGTGGATTCAGCGTTTAGAGAGTTTGACATCAGATGTGAACTCAGTTCCAGATGAGTCCAATCGAGTTCTCCGGCTGATCAATCGTATCTTTTTGGATCCAAGACTCGATGTGCCTCAAGGTCCTACGAAGATGGTGGGTAGTGATGAGAGTCGAAGTTGGTACATGTGACCAATTCGATTTTGCTCAACAAGAATAGCGCCTTCCAGAAGTCCATGAAGTTGTGTGGATCCCAAGTTTGGCAAGCGAGACCCACTAGCATTCTGTCTGAGATCGATGGATTGGATGTGGATAAAACTGTGGAAGGCCGGCGAACTGAGCTGCAGAGCATGACTGCTCATAAAGCTTGGAAGGTGGTTGGAGCAGATGAGGCTCATGGGTAATCGGTCCAAAGGTGGTGAATGGGAAGGAAGCTGTGCGAGCACGGTGTGTGAGGTCAAACCACCCACTTCGGGACAAACATAGGCCGCTGTTGTCTTCATCGAATCGGAAATTCAGCCAGAACTGCAGTCCTCATCAAAAGAAGTAAATCAGACCATATTCGAATGCTCGAGAGCTCCTCTTCAGGTCAAAGCTCGTGCTCGTAGATTCAACCTCACTGTGCTGTGTTCTCACTGCCCTTTCAACCAAGTCAAGAGTCTGGAGAAGGATGATGCAAGCCGATGGTGGTTGATCGACTCAGAAGCGTCAGTGACAGTGATTGCGAAAATACTTGGATGAGTTCCAGATCTGGGATCGGAAGGCGTTGAGACCTAATGAGAGGTACTTGGCAGCCAATGATACTCCTGTTTCGAGCGAGTTCGTATTCGAGCTTTGTTGCCAATGTATGATGGAGAGCAGGACCTTGGTTTGATTTTGGTGTGTGACCGGAGTTGTCGCAGACGTGGCGCACAACATCTTGAGGGTGAGAACTAGTTGGAAAGTTAAATTCACAAGAAAGGAAATTTCAAATTTCGCTGCGACATGAGAAGAAAGAAGTCATGGAATATGGAGTATCTCATGACTTGCAAACGTCTGTGCAGGATGTGCATCCATCGTGTCGAACGCTGTTGCTCAACAGTAAGACCGACTTCAGCCTAGACTCATATTGGGTCTTCACTGCATGCATCAACTCATTGGGAAACACTTCAGAACCCAATCCAACCCAACTTCTCCATCCAAAGACTACTGCTGCTGCTGCGATTACTACTAAAACTACTACTACAACTACTACTACTACTACTACTACTACTACTACTACTACTACTACTACTATTACTACTACTACTACTACTACTACTACTACTACTACTACTACTACTACTACTACTACTACTACTACTACTACTACTACTCTTACTACTACTAATTATTACTACTACTACTGCTACTGCTACCACTACCACTACCGCTACCACTACCACTACCACTACCACTACCACTACCACTACCACTACCACTACCACTACCACTACTACTACTACTACTACTACTACTACTACTACTACTACTACTACTACTACTACTACTACTACTACTACTACTATACGACTACTACCACGACTACTACTACTACTACTACTACTACTACTACTACTACTACTACTACTACTACTACTACTACTACTGCTGCTACACTACCACTACTACCACTACCACTACCACTACCACTACCACTACCACTACCACTACCACTACCACTACCACTACCACTACCGCTACAACAACAACAACTATTACTACTGCTACTACTACTGCTACTGCTACTACTGCTAGTTCGACTACGATTTCGATTACTATTATTACGACTACAACAACAACAACGACGACTAATTACTACAACTTCTACTACGACTACAACAACAACAACAACTACTACTACTACTACTACTACTACTACTACTACTACTACTACTATTACCACTTCTACCACTTCTACTACTACTTCTATTACTACCACTACTACTATTACTACTACTACTACTACTACTACTACTACTATTACTACTACTACTACTGCTGCTGCTGCTGCTACTACTATTACTACTACTACTACTACTACTATTACTACTAGTACTACTAGTACTAGTACTGCTGCTACTACTACTACTACTACTACTACTACTACTGCTAGTACTGCTACTACTGCTACTATTGCTACTACTGCTACTACTGCTACTACTGCTACTACTGCTACTACTGCTACTACTCTTACTACTGCTACTACTGCTGCTACTGCTACTACTGCTTCTTCTGCTTCTACTGCTACTACTGCTACTACTGCTACTACTGCTACTACTGCTACTACTGCTACTACTGCTACTACTGCTACTACCGCGACTACTGCTTCTACTGCTACTACTGCTACTACTGCTACTATTGCTACTATTGCTACTACTGCTACTACTGCTACCGCTGCTACTACTGCTTACTTGTGAAGTCGACCAGCACTGGACTTGCACTAAGCCAATGCAATCACAGCCCGGTCACGCTGTTTTACGACTTCGTGAGTCCAAGCACTTGTGCAGCTACGCCTGAGTGCGTCCGGTCGGACCGCACAGCAACCTGGGAGCTACTGTACGACTCTACCGTGCTCAAAGGCACAAGCTCGGTACTTGAGCCAAAATATTGGCATTGTTACGAATTGCAAAACTACACATGCAAGGGAAAACAACAAGCTGCACTAGCACTAAGCAAGCACTCCATGCATGCTTTGACCTGCTCACATTCGCCCCTCAGCCGAGGCTTCCGGCTCACCAAGAGCTCATAGTGCGTCAAGCACTTCAGCAACGCGGCAAATGGGGTAGGGTGAGGGTGTCGCGTGCGACTCTGGTAGAGCCCGCACATCATGAGCATTGGCATGCGGCTTGGGCGGCAGCCCGCACTACCGGACGGACGCACGACGACAGCAACCCTCCACGACCCTAAACCACCCCAAGTCGCGAGCTCTCACCTTTGTGCAGACAGGCGAGGCTCCAGAGTACTGGGCAGGTCTTTGTGCTGCTAGTGCAAAGCTATGGTACAAATGGTACACTGTACACTACCGGTCCTAAGCTACGGCTACGGCTACTCACCTATCCGGAACTACCCTACGGGCTACCAGACTCAGCGAGAGCCGCGCACATGGCTTGTGCCGCAGGCAATGCAGCTCACACGCGCTTCGGCGAGCGCATTGCCGCGACCAGGACACGGTCCGCAGCACCTGCAAAAGAGCACCCTCAGCACGAGGGGCCACAGGCAGGGCGGAGGAGAAAGGTGCGGGGAATGCA